AACTTTCGGCCCGCTGATGTATAACCCCTTAATAGCCCCTAATAAACAGCGTTCGAGTCCAGCATGCTGATGCCGCGAAGAGGCTCGGGATCTGTTCATCCTCATCAGTGGCATCTGCCCAACACCCTATTCTCGTCCACGTCCTTAGCAGTAATATAGGGGTATAATATAGGGAATATGTAAATATAGGGTTACATATAGGCTTATATCGCGTTATACAATACAGGGGTATAATGTAGGCAATATGGGTATAAGTTTCCATTATAGTGTATCGGGGTTATATGGGGAGAAATGGAAAAGAAAAGTCCACGTCCTTAGTGGTCTGCGTTCAAAGGCTTGGGGTTCTGTTGGATCTTCAAACCCTAAACCCTTAACCCCTACACCCTAAACCCTAACCCTAAACCCGAAACCCCTAAACCCTAAACCCTAAGCAGTTCTTCGGAAAAATCTTTCGAGGCTCCTCCACATAGCTGGAGTCCCCGCTTGAACGTTATATATACACTATTCTGATAATTACTATTATACGGGAACCCTATTGATTACTATATACGCATGATATGCTAACTGTAACTTAATTCAAGTTCCTTAACAGCAACCCGGATCCCTAAACCCTAAACCCTAAACAGTAGTTTCCACTTTCTTTTCCATCATCCCCATATAACGCTATATAGGCCCATAATACTTAACCCTATATAACCCAATATGACAGTGGAAATGCAACTTCCTGGAATGGATCCCGATACCAATAAGTGCAATCATGTTGCCCACAGTCCTTAAGGATAGCCCCTTTTTGAGAATGCTTGCACAACTTGGATCACCTGTTGCGACACACACCAGGAAAAAATGAATCTCCACCACGGCAGTAAGAACTCTGGTCGTAAACTGATGGAAGAGCACTATCAAACGCTTAGCCATAACACTCTTTGGAGGTCCTGGAAGTGGATTTCTACTCCTGATCTAACTCTCACAATATGATCACCAAGGATTACAAGCAGAATCCAAACAACATTAACACCATGAATTATGACATCTAATCATCAACACTGAGCTATCTGGGCTCCGCACACCATGGGGTCGCTACCCTTCGAAAGCTCCTGTCCATCGGAAAGACATCTGTGTTTAGGGTTTTTTCTTATAGGACCTTTTCTCCTCAGTTAGCCCCCTCGGAAATCCTAGGTGGTTGGGGTTTAAGGTTTAGGGTTGAGCGTTGAGGGTTTAGGGTTGGAGTGGCTGGCCAGGACATGATGCTGATGATGACAATGATGACGATGATAAGCATGATGATGACGATGATAACCATGATGATGACGATGATAACCATGATGATGATGATGAGGATGATGATGATGATGAGGATGAGGATGATGATGATCAATCAAACGGTAGCAAGAGATGGCAATAGCAATTTTACTGGTGGTTAAGTGGGAATATGGGAGTATAATCCCTGTATAATGGCTATACAATGCATTCCCCGAACCCCCCAGGGAAGATAATATCCCAAAATATAATCCCAAATATACTATAGTATATAGTTTTCTTTTCCATTATTCCCTCACTCCCTACAAACCACTGGTAAGATGATGACAAGGGTAGTGGCTACGGTGGTAGCTCATGAAAAGCAGTATTCTCGCATTTGGGCGTGGGTTCGGGCCAAGGTCTTGCCCGCATTTATCTCGGGCTGATTCCTTCACATGGGTTTCGGGTTTAAGTTTTAGGATTCAGGGTTTAGGGTCTGGGGTTTGGGGTGTAGAGTTTAGGGTTTAGGGTTTGCCCGGAAGCATGCGATATGCACTTGCCTCAGTAGCATGCAAGATTCCGCCGCGCCTCTGCACCCAGCCCGTCCACTGCATCCACCCGCACCATGCCTTCAGCTAAGTTGCTGTTAAGGAATTCCACCTAAGTTACCATGATACGGGTATATGGTAGTTTCCCTAAATTCCTGTTCCCAAAATGGGGGAAATTTATATAGGGCTTTGTATTATAATGGGAACCCAAATATAGGACCCCGTATTATAGGGAATTTAGACCAATACCCATATAGTACGTAGATAATCAGGTTTCCTTCTTGTCGTAGCTCAATTTACGTTCCTTGTCAGCAACCCAGTAAGTCCAGGGCACGGTCTACTTAATGGTGTCTAGCAGAGAATAAGGGAACGTAATCATATGAACCCTATAAAATCCCTGTGTAGGAAATTTTCTCTAATTCCCTACTAGGCCCGATCAAGTTTAATGATAGGAGGCGCAAGTTGCTGGAGGGCGTATCGTACGGCCTTTTAGGGGTTATAATTGGGGTTATATAGGGGCTGATTCTCATCGGATTATGTAGAGGCTGTTGAAGGGCTATATAGGGGTTTTCAGTAGCAAAATTCATAGTCATGCAGGTGCTGGACAGCGGCGCTTCACTGCCCGGGGTTTCCTTTGCAACCCAACCTAGCCTTGCGCCGGTCAAGGTTTAGGGCTTAAGGTTTAGGACATGTCCCAAAGCCTGGCTGGAAGTTAGTCACAGCGCCCATGCAATCCTGAATAGGGAGCTCCACAATGCCGTTCCCTAAATATTCCTGGGGTACTTGGAGGGTCAGGGGGACTTAGTAAGTAGTTTAATAACCCATATAACCCATGTAGTAACCCTAATTGTCCCCATTATTAGCCTACTCACTAAGTCCCCCTGACCCTCCAAGAAAGCACCCTTAAGAAACCCTAAAGCCTAAAATTGTTTAGGGCCCTGAGCATCCCTATCCCCTAAACCCTAAACCCTAAACAGAATAGGCTAGAAGTTGACGATTGCACTGCGCTGCAATGGGAGTTTCTGAACTAGGGCCTGTATCTTTGGGGACCCTAGAAATTTGGGTTTAGGGTTTAGGGGTCCCTATTTAGGGCAATACAGGGTTCTAGAGGGATAAGTTTGATATAACCCTTACTAAAAGACTCCTCCCACTTCAAGATAAGCTTCTTCGCTTACATTAGCTTTGATATTCACAAATGAGGGTTTCCAGAAATGGTGGGCCCCAAAAAGGATCGCCATTTACAAAAAGGGACCCCAAATTTTGCGAAACCCAAACACCTATGAACCACTATAGAACCCAGTTTCCACCAAAATGGTGCATTGTTTCTTCCATTTGGTTCTCCTTATTGGGGTAACATCCCTGCACCCTGTATAACACCCTTTTGCAGAGTTTAGAATCCCCCTAAACTTGCAGTAAGTTGCTCTCTTTGCAGATGACAAGACTTGCACGAGGCCAACTGTTGCCACAGCTTCAGCTTCGTTGATCGTGGCGGTCGCAGATAAGAGGCTTCCTTCGTCGTTTAGGGCTTTAACGCTGAGAGGCTCAAGTTCAGGCCTTAGAGTTTTAGGGAAAATCCTGAGACGTTTGACCGCGAAACAGATAGAAAGCGCTTGGCAACATCATCAGCAAAAATGACTCCACTGTGAAACAACTCTCCACAAAAATCGCGGGTAATATTCTGGGCTAATCAGTGGAACTTGACTTAAAATGCCACATTATGGCTACATGGCATCTGATAAATTATTTGAGCTACAGTCATCCCCCTTAAAAATCCCTATGATAGTCCCCTATATAATCCTCCATAGAACCCCCTTTAAGGAGTTTAGAGAATAGCTCACATGAGGCCTGGTAAATTATTTGGTTTCGTTATGAGGGCATTCAACCCCTAAACCCTAAATCCTTAAGCCCAAACCCTAAACCCTAAAACCTAAAGCCTAAAACCTAAACCCTAAACCCTGAATCCTAATCCCTAAACTCTGAAAATCCTCGGCTTCTTCGCCTGCTTGCTGGCTGGGTGCTGGCCCCAGCTCTGGAGTTACAAGTCGCGGCCCTGGACGCGGTTTTCAAGGTTTAGGTTTTAGGGTTTAGGGTTTAGGTTGTAGGGTTGGTATTATGACTATTCTTATTACTATTGTTACCATTTTTCTTAGTATTATTACAATTACTACTATTATTGCTACTCGTATTGATAGGTTTAGGTTTTAGGGTACAAAATGGAGGAGGGGTCAGGGCTCTAGAATCAAGGTCGAACTCGTGTCCCACGCGGAGGTCGAAATCTTGCTTAAAGAATGCAGGATTTGGGCTTTACATGCCTGTTGCTGGTGTTGAATGGAGTGGAATTGACCTGCTGCAGCGCTTGCATGTACAGCCGCATGACACCATAGGTGTGCTCAGAGGCCCCAACCTGTGCATCTCTTATCTGCGCTGCTGCAAGGGGAAGGCCAGAGCATTTCCTATACATAATACATCAGAATAGCAGTAGTAGTAGAAATAACAGTGCTAACAGCAATAATGATCATAGTAGTAGTTTTAGGAACAATAACCATAGCAATAACCATAGCAATAATAATTGCAATAGTAGCAATAAGGTTAAAACTAATCTTCATTCAGATATAATGGTAGTAGTAACCTTGAATCCAAAGCCTGAGCCCTGGGTCCCAAGAGATTCTAAACTTCATTGCCCTGAATCCTTCTATACATCCACTTACGTTCCTATATATTCCCACACATCCTTCCATATCCCCATATTTCCTCATATATCAGATATCCCTATATGTCCATCTTATCTCAGCCTGCTTGTTCCACAGCTCCCTAAACCCTAAACACTAAGCCCTAACTCCTAAACCCTTAGCCCTAGACCAGAAACCCTAAGCCCTAGGGATAATATGGGGTTATATAGGGTTCAGGGTAAGGAATATAAGGGTATAGTATAGGGGTTTAAGGGTATAGTAAAGGGGTTATATAGGGATAGTGGAAACCTAGACTCTAGACTCTAGACCCGTAGACACCCTTCAGCGGGAACGGCCTGGGCAAGCTCAAGTCACATAGCACGGCTATGCGCGGACGCGGGGTGATGCTATCAGTGCACAAAGGGCCCTACTGTGCCAACCTACACAGAATCACAATTTTACTAGTACGAATTATAGTAATTGTAAGGATACCAATAATCATAAGGATACCAGTACCATGAAAAAAACTCTTTTCGGGAATGCTATGCATACTAGGAATTCACTGGACTCTGGACTCGTGTGGTAATGGCATATCCAACTTGTCCCTGTGGATCTTCAGACATTCATCATACCACGAGCGCTGTCAGTTAGAGCATTTCCGGAACAGTCCTGTAGATAAAGATAAACCGTTCAATAACGAAGCATAATGAAGGCGCAATTTCAGAACGCTGTGCCTGCGCCATCCCACTGCCCAAGCACCATGCAAGCCTTTCTGAAAATGGCTGCAGTGGAAGGTCGGCTCGAACCAGCTCCTGACGCCTGCTGCCTGGCACCTTTATATAGTCCCCCTTAAGTGGATAGAATCTGGGGGTTATTTTCAGAGAGTGGAAAAGACAATGGAAACTACTATTTAGGTTTTAGGGTTTAGGGTTTATAGTCCCCCTTAAGTAGATAGAATATGGGGTACATGGGGATCTTATTATAATATGCCCCAAGCCATACTCTATCTACTTTAGGGGACTATAACCCTATATAAGCCTATAAGAAGTTCAAGAGAAAGTAGCCCTGAGGACGTGCATGGACGAGGGCGAAAGCAATAAATTAATTCAAGGAACCTGCCTCAGTTGTAGAAACACAGAAGATCCCTATAGCACTCATTAGGTAATTATACTACTCCTATATAATATGACCGCGACAACCCCTTTAAAGGGATCCCTTAGGAGGACCCCCCACCCTGTAATAGTGGTATAATAGGAATATAAGAGGACCCTAATATAATACCTATGATCCCCAATAGTCACTGTTACTGGGTGGGGGGTCCACCTAAGGGATCCCATTTGTAGCGCGCACCTTGGCCGTAGCCTTGGATTTTGGCGAGGGCGATGTAGGCCTCGAACCGTCGCGAAAAGGATGAATCCAACTAGGACGAGCTGCTTAGGGTTAGGGTTTAGGGTTTAGGGTGACGAGCTGCACAATACTGACCCCTACACCCTAAACCGTAAGCTCTAAATCCTAAACCCGAAGTCCTGAACTCTAAACTCTAACCCTGAAACTAACGCGCAGAATGCTGGGACAGATTAACTTCAAGACTGAGCATCAACATAATAAGGGGGTTTGGGTAACCCCACACCCCCAAACTGGGACATATGCCCATCATATGAAATTCATAGGGTCCCAATTTTGGGGGTCTGGGTTCCCCTAAACCCTAAACCCTAAATCCTAAAACCTTTTGTTACAATCGTTTGGTCCCATCCACAACCTGAGAAAAAAGGCCCGCATCCAGACCTTGGACCTTGCAAGGATGGACCGAGGCCAGAAGCTTACTTACTGAGGGTAGGTATAGGGTTTAGGGCTTAGGGTTTTGGTAGGGAATAGGGAATATGAGATATTGGGATTATATGGAGATTATATTTCCAGTAAGCTTATGGATTGCACGACCATAAATACTTCTGGCGACTCATCTTGAACCAGATACCGCCCTGTCAAACGTATCATCCACTTTGGGGTTCCCATTCTAGCACGGCCATAGTTTTGACAACCCCCATATATATTTCCTGTAATCTCTGTACCCTCAGCAATTTGCTTGGGATTGCTTCTGCAAGTCCTTTTGCTGCAGACAAGTGTTCTTGCTGCTATGCGCTTTCTGCTAAATCGTAAAAACCTGAACCCCATATCATTTAGCAGCGTCCCTTTTCTTGTCCGCTCCTACCTCCCTTCAGAATCCTGAATTCTCAGGGTTGCTATCTCCAGACACTAACCCTAAACCCTAAACCCGAAGCCCTAAACCCTGAGCCCTAAGCCCTAAGCCGTTTTCTATCCTGAAGCTGCCTGCCCGTTGTTCTCTCAGGCGTCGCGGGTGGCCCCTGGAGGGATGTACAGGCCACCCCGGTATGCTGGTTGCTGTAGAGGA